CCATGTCAGACTTTCCCTCCGCTGCTGCTGACCCCCCTTGACTACCTCAGGTCTTTCATTTCTGTACCTGATCTATGTGAGCAGAGAGTGAGAGCTGTGGGCACGGCGGCCCTGAAGGAGAACAGAGAGAGAACAGGCCAGGTGCATGTAATTTTTGAGCCATTATGTTCAATCTACAGAGGGAATGCACCCAGTCCCTCTTTCCTATTCCCTCTGACTGCCATCCTTTTACCTTGTGCATCACATCTGTGTTTAGTTTTCCCCCTCACTTTCATTACAAAGTGTTTCTAAGCAAAACCTTAGGCAGTGCGACTCCAATCCTGCACATGGTTGGCAAATGGTGTGTGACAATCTTGTACAATCCTTTTATAAAATATCCTCAGTGCCTGGATGTTGGGTTGTAGGTATTTTGATTTGTTTAAGAGTTTCTGGAGACCAGGGTTCAAATCCCTTTAGCTGTGGGACACCACAAATCACAGCCTCTCAGCCTCAGAGGAAAGCAAAGAGGAACCTTCTCTCAATAAGTTCTGGAAAACCGTGTGATACCACCTCATCTGACAGGGAGGTTTTAGAGTAGTAGTATGCTTCCCCGTCTGGAGGACTGATGGGCTCACTGCTCATCAGGCCACGCAAGGGAGTTTCCCATGGAAGTCCCACCCCCAACTGAGGTGAAAGTGTCACCAAATGCTTCCCAGGCAACAAGCAGCCTCCTCTCAATGGCAGAGCTTTCCCATGTGATGGGGAAAGCGTCGCAGAGATGGAGCTGCATGCGGGAAGACCCTTTATGATCATCATATTTATTATTTCCACCTTCATACATTTTTATATGGGAGGAGGGATTAAAATCCATCTAAATATTATTTTATTTCATTGTGTAAATTCTATATTATAGCCAAAATTCTGAATTTGACCCTTTAATATTTAAAGAAAGAAATGTAACTTCCTGCTTTTCTCCCAAAATTTATGTCATTTATGAGTAACATTCCAAGACTGTTACTCATAAAGGGCATTAATTGTTGCACTCTTGCCCTGGAACACCCTTTCACCCAACACGACACCAGAGTCCTGTACTCCAATAAAAGAATGTTTATTAAAGACAGCATATAAAAAGGAAAAAAGGCAAAATACAAAAGAGTCAGTAAGGATATAAAATGCAATTCTCAAAAGAAGCCAGAGTTCAGTAGCAGTAATCCAGAAAGGCCAGGTTAGAACACAAAACCAAGGTATCCAAAAGCATAAAATTAATCCAAAGGTATATCCATGAACATGAAGACAGGAACTTCTCCAAGGTAATTTCTCCAAAGTTACATAGGCATAAACAGGAACATGAAACAGGAAACTTGACCATACATGAACCAAGAACTTGGCATCATTAACAGGAGTCCGATCTCCTTTAGCAATATTGTCTGAAAGGCATGAAAACAAACCACTTAATTTAAGCCCTCCAAGACACCCATGACATCATGCCTAACATACCTGGACCTCAAGGTCTTATCTCAAATTCTCTGAGAATATCTAGTTTGCCAGCTTTTCACACTCTGCGTTCTCAGCTCTAATCTATTCTTGCTTGAAAAATCATCATCTTCCCAAGGCCTTTTCTCAAGAGAACTGGTATTTTCATTTTCCCCTGTTGCCTAAGAATGAGCTGAAGAATCCAAAATATCAGTCTCATCTGCCTGCAATTCCCTCCGAACACTCACAGACTCCTCATTTTGGTACCCATAAACTCCCTCATCATCCGAACATTCAGAAAAATCTGTTTGCCATTTTACTGGAGCTAAATGAGCATCCTGTAGTAACCCTTGATCTCCTTCAGCATAGTTACATGAGGTTCTCTTGATAACATTTTGCTGTTTTCTCTTCTTCTCTAGTACTCTGGATGAAGCTCAAGAGTTCTCTTCTGTGGACAACTCTTTGGACACTTGGGTAAGAAGGGAAAGGCAGGGATCAGGATTTGAAAGGAAGTCTCCTCTCTTTCTTTTACAGTGTTTCTGGGTGGTAAATAGCATGGCCCGACTTACCGGGCCAAAGAAGTTGCAGTGCAGGGTGTCCCCCACCGCCATTCTTGCCTGAGGGGGGGGGCTTCTTCCTCCCAGAAGCCCCCTCTGATGGCGGGAAGGATTCCCGCCGGCGGGTCAAGGGGCCAATGGCCAATTGACCACGCCACCACAGGTAAGGCCTGAGCTGGCCTCTCCCTCTTTCGGGTCAGCCTTCATAAAGCTGCCCAGGTTCCCCAGCAGGCACTTGGCCTGCAACAGCTGATCCATCCCACCCACCCTGCATGCAGTTTATGTTTTCATTGGCTGTTAATTTTGTAGATGTTCTCCTTGTCACGGTTACCTGTTAACAGTTACTTGTTTGTTTTATGCTTCTCGTCACAACTCCTTGTTGGGCGTGGGGCATGGGCCCTGGATCTGGTTTGGTATCCCCCCTAGCGGTTAGGGGGGACGCCCAGTGGTCCCAGGGTTGCCGAGTTGCGTTTGCCCGGTATTGTGCCGGCGGCACCCTGGTGTGTGCGGGATCGGGCAGTATTGGGCTGTCCGATCATGATCCAGGACCCATGCTTGGCTGCCAAGCCTTGTTCCTGTTATCAATAAATGAGTTGTGGCCATTGTTCATCCCACATCATGTGTGAGTGTACTTCTTAGGTTGGCTGTGGGAGGTGTATCGCACTTGCACACGCAACAGGATGCAAGAAGTGAGGGCCTCCTTCAAGAGGAGTTTTATGAATCCTGGGCAAGGAGCAAAAGGCAAAAATACTGTATTTTTGCAAAGGAGAAAGAGAGGCCCAGCTTTCAGAGGAAGTTTCCCAAAAGGCTCTTTTCTCTTTTCTTCTTTCACTGTGCACCCTGACCAAAATAGGAGCACAAGAGAGAGCATCGAAACAACAGTCCCAGGAAGAGAAGTACCTTCTCCCTTTTTGAAGAAGGTACTTCTCCAAAAAGTACGTCTTCTTATTGGGCTGGAGGAGTCTTTGGATTTTATGTTCTTACATTTGTTTTTGTTTTTTGTTTGTTTCTCTTAGCAAAACAATAGCTATCAACATTGCAGGTTTAGAAGAAAAAGCTGGGTCTGCTGTCTCTATAGTGTGTCCATAGCTCAACCTGTTTTTCACTCCTCAAGAAGATCTGGGAAAAATAATTTCCTTGTTGCCAGAGGAGATCAAATAAAATGGCTCCTGCCATGTTTTCCCCTTGTTCTAATTCAGCTCACTTGTATTGTAGTGAGCATCCTTTAGCTCCTTCAGCATATCTACACAAGGTTTTTTTCCTAACATTTTGTTGTTTTCTCTTTTTCCCTAGTGCTCTGGATAATGCTAAATTACTGACCTGGAGCAAACTTGGCACACAGAACCTCCATGACCAACATAAAATACTGGAGTGGGTTAGGAAAAACTGGAAGTGATGTACAGGAGATATAACTTGCCTACATCTGGAGAGCACTGTGAACCCAGACGACTATGGATCTGGACCAAACTTAACACAAATACTCAATATGCCCAAATTTGAACACTGGTAGAGTTTGAGGAAAATAGAAGCTGACATTTGGGAGTTGCAGTTGTATGGATTTATAGTACACTTGCAATAAAGGAGTATTCTGAGCTCCACCAACAATTGAATTGAACCAATTTTGGCATGCAGAACTCCCATGACGAACAGAAAATACTGGAGAAGGTTGGGGAAAACAGACCCTGACATATGGGAGTTGATGTTGTGACATATGGGAGGTGATGTTGTGTGGAGTTATAGTTCACCAGCCATCAAAGAGCATTCTGAGATCCACCAACAATTGAACTGAACCAAACTTGGCATACACATCTCCTAGGAGCAACAGAAAATACTGGAGTGGGTTGGGGAAAACAGACCCTGACATATGGGAATTGCAGTTGTGTGAATTTATAGTTCACCAGCCATCAAAGAGCATTGAGAACCGCTGCCCTAAACTAATGCAACTGTTGTGGTAAAACAGATTGGTGTAACAAAGTCATTATAAATCTAACAGGGCAAAAATTATTGAGATGCTTTTAATTCATTATTGTACAATATTTACAAAGGGACTACAATACTAGAAATATCAACAATGGAATAATATACTACAAGAAAGAAAATTCCCATCTAAATACGATATTTATTTAAATCCAATGCTCATATTTTGGGCTAAATTAAGGTAAATGTTTTCCCCTGACATTAAGTCCAGACGTCTCCAACTCTGGGGGTTGGTGCTCATCTCCATTTCTAAGCCAGCGTTGTCTGTAGACACCTCCTAGATCATGTGGCTGGCATGACTGCATGGAGCACCGTTACATTCCCGCTGGAGTGGTACCTATTGATCTACTGACATTTGCATGTTCTCAAACTGCTAAGTTGGCAGAAGCTAGGGCTAACAGCTGGAGCTCACGCCACTCCCCGCATTCAAACCTGCGACCTTTTGGTCAACAAGTTCACCAGCTCAAATTTAACCCACTGTGCCACCGGGGGCTAAATTACATAGTCAACATTTAAGTGTGTATTAGATTTGATGGCATGTTAGAATCATGTATGTATACCTGCCTGTGCTACTCCATCAGGCCAAAGCTGCACCCCTCCATCAGGTTACAGCTGACAAAATCGCCAGCCTCACGTGGTTCCCAACTGGCTTCCTTTTATGAGGCCTTCAAACCCACTCCCTCAGAGGAACCACACAAAGCTGGTGAAGGATTGTGGCTTCCCATTGCCTACTGGTTGTTCAGAGACAGGCAGCAACCTTGCTTGCATTATTGAATCTGTTGTCAAGGAGGCAGTCAGAGAAACAGCCAATAGGCAAGGGATAGTTGTGCCCTTTCACCAGTTTTATAGGTTTCTCACATGGTTCCCAACTTGGGTGCATTACATTCAACAACAAATCTTTTTTTGGTAATGCTCTCCTTCAAAATTGAGGTGTGCATTACAATTGATGACGCATTACACTCTAGTAAATACAACATTCTGATTCAGTCCTAGAAATAACAACTCAAGGCAAGATTTAAGTATTTCCTTCTTTTATTCATATGACTGCTCAGCAGCGGGGTAGGGTCAGTAAAACTCAAGATATCATATTTGACAGATGAGTGCTGTGACAATTTAGGCTGGCAAGGCTATGCAGCGAAGGAAGAAAAGCCTTGCTTTGTTCACAGGTTCTGGAGCAGCCAGTCCAGTACGGGCATCCGAACAAAGTTGCCCAATGCCTCTCCCAGCTGCCGCTCCTTCTCATACTTCAGAACCGCCTGCATCACTTCTCCTACGCTGTAGCCCCTTTCCACCGCCACCATGGAGAGTTGTTGGAGCTGTTGAAAAGAGAAGAAATATCCAAAAGTGTGACATTTTTCAGGGAAAGAAACTGTTTATAGGTTCTTGTGGGTTTTTTCGGGCTATAGGGCCATGTTCTAGAAGCATTTCTCCTGGCGTTTCGCCTGCATCTATGGCAAGCATCCTCAGAGGTAGTGAGGTCTGCTGGAATTAGGACAATGGGTTTATATATCTGTGGAATGGCTGGGGTGGGGCAAAGAGCTCTTCCCTGCTGGAGCTAGGTGTGAATGTTTCAACTGACCACCTTCATTAGCATTTGAAGGCCTGGCTGAGCCTGGGAAAATCTTTTGTTGAGAGGTGTTAAGATGTGCCTGGTTGTTTCCTCTCTGCTGTTTTGCTGTTGTAATTTTTGAGTTTTTTAATACTGGTAGCCAGATTTTGTTCATTTTCATGGCCTTCAAATGCTAATGAAGGTGGTCAGTATTGTACATTCAACAGAGCCTGAACCTGCTTTTGGTATCTCTGCTAGTACTAAAACAGCTGTTGATACCAGTGGAGCCAAAACAGATGCAGACAGTGTCTAAGCTGTCTTCAGTTTGGAATACTTTAGAAAGAGATGGGTTCTGCAAATGCAATGATTGATAACTTGACCATAGGAATGGAACAACGGAAATGATATCGGATTGTGGGTTTGACGATGAGACGACACGGAATGGCTTTTGTAGTAATGTTGATGTTTTTGATTAGGATGTTTTGATAATGATGAATTGTGGATTATTTTTACACTATGTCTTGTATTTTGCACCTGTTTTTCTATGTTGTACACCGCAATGAGTCGCCCCTGGGCTGAGAATTGTGGTATATAAGCGCAGTAAATAAATAATAATAATAATAATAATAATAATAATAATAATAATAATAATAATAATAAATGGAGAACAAGTGGTATGAAGAAATCAGTCTGGACCACTTATGCAGCTGGTTGGGAAATATCTTCCTGTCTCCTCTTTTTATGAAGAGTTCCCTATCCCACTCCCATCTTAATAAGTTTTTCACTCACTCTGAAAATAGTGGGTAATAAATAGATAAATAAATATTAAGGGCTACTGTCCCAACCCTTCATACCTATAAACAATACAATCCAAAATTATGGATCTTCAATGCCACATCTCAGTTGGGCTTCAACTGTTCCTTCTTTCTAGCAATACTTCCACTGTTAATTCAAACATATCCACACAAACCAGGTAATTCCTAACATTCTTTCTCTTTGTACAAAGTACATTAAAGAAACATCCTGGGGACTGACTTTCTTTTCCTGAAGTTCCTGGCACATCATCTCATTTCCCAGCCAGGCTCAGCAGAGGTAGCAATTGCAAAACCTAGCAAGTAAAAGTGAGAGGCTGCCACAGGAAAACAATAAGACTGATGGAGAAGAAATTCAAGAGAGAAAGGATCCCTCCGAACAGCTCTAACATATCAAATAATATTTATCTAAAATTAAAGACATCAGGTATCTGCATGGGCACTCAAACAGAAACTTCTTTGGAAACTGGCTTGAATTTCGTACAAGAAAAAAAGTGGCATATAAAACAAATACACAAACAGGTATTGGAAGCTGAGTTGTTTTTCAGGCTGTATGGCCATGTTCTAGAAGCAGTCTCTCCTGACATTTCACCTACATCTATAGCAAGCATCCTCAAAGGTTGTGAGACTTTTGATGCAGGTGAAACATCAGAAAAGAATGCTTCCAGAACATGGCCATACAGCCCGAAAAACCTACAGCAACTCAGTGATTCCCACCATGAAAGCCTGAGTTATATGGGGTTATATGGAGAGAGAATTTTAACAAGCTCCAGAAATTTCTGCTGTTGACATCTTGAATGTGTAGTCCCTTAAGAAGGCTAAATAATTATATAATAATTTGTTCATAAAGCTTTGTTTCATGGGTATGAAACAAAGCCCCATACACAACTCAAACATTGTAGAGTTCAACTTCTCCCATCATTTTTCACATGTTTCGTGGCTTACCTTATTCAGGGTCTCTTCATCATCGTCCATGAAGTACAACACAGGGACATTTAACTGAGAGGCTGCCACCCACTGAAGGACGGCTTGAAGTTGTTTATTATGAATGTTGTCAGGAGCATTTTGGTTGGTTACAACCACTTTGCGGCGGGACAAAGTGTCTTCACCTGATCCTATTCGACTTTCTCCACCACTTTCTATATCTTTGGAATACATAGGTCCACTGGCATCTTCAGCATCTACTATATCTCCAAGACCTGATTCCGGATTGCTATATTTGGCTATCATAAGACACAGCTTGGTCACTGTATCCACCAGGTTGTCAAAGAATGGCCCACTGCCTCCTTCCGTCTTGTTGACATCAAATTGATCAAGAATCATTTTGGTCAGTCCAGATATGGCATCGTCATAAGAATGGTCTACTTCGGAAGTGCCCGAAGGCCCAGACACCTCGGGGGATTTATAAGCACCCCTATATGCTTCATCTGCCATCAGAGTTCCAGCATTTCCTCCTAATTTGTTGACTGTCTCACTGATGAGTTTCTGAATGAGCATTACTACAACACTTGACATATCATTGTCAGGATTTGCTTCAGATTGTTCGTCATCACTCTTTTTCATTGAGTCATAATGCTTAAACGGAGGGGCATTACCACTTTTGTCTTGAGACATAAACCCAAAAGTGTTTCCAGTCTTGCTTAATCTACCACTATCACCGGCTTCCTTTATTGCATTCTCTTGCTGATGCAGATGATACTGTATCAGCATCAATGCTGTCACAATCAGGTCTCTTGCCCAGGAATCTGTTGCAAGGTCTTGATTTTCTACATTCCAATTTGCCTTTGGCTGGAAATTTGACCCTGCATTTTCATTCTGTTGTTTCTGGTGCCACATGGAGAGGCCTTCCTTTATGATATGATTGCCAACTGTTTCTGCACAAGTTGTTTCCTTTTCCTTAAGTGTTTCTGATTTTGCGGCAGAAAATCTCATGTTCTGAGTTTTTCCATCAGTTCCTGTACCTGTCTTAACTGTTGCGAAGGCCATGCGCTGGGATTTGGCTTTCTCGTTCACCTGTTTTTGTACAATCAAAGCATTGTGTAACCGATTAAGCATGGCTTGAACAATTTCGGAAGCCTTTTGGCTCCCTTGGGTGAAAAGGCTCCGCTTCACCGCTGAAACAAAGTCAGAGTCAGTCATGAGCGTTCCAGTAACATCATGCAAGTTTTTCATACAGGAGTCAATCAGGTCAGACACAACCTCCTTGGAATGCTTTAGCAGTACCTTTTTCAACACAGCACAAGCTATGTTTGAGTCATTGACTTTCACTTTCATCGTTTTCATAACGGAAACCATCATATCTGATACCACGCTGTTAGCATAAACCAATATTCCTTTGCTTAATGAATTAGTATATTCATCTGGACCAAAACGTTTCCGGTGGTTGCAAGCTTTAGCCCCATCACTGGAAGGGTCACTTTTGTTAGGAACGTCGGTTTCTTCCTCTTTGTAATAAAATGCGGCTTTCTTCTTAGAATTAGGGCTTCCTTCATATTTATACTCGCTCGTCTTAGGTGGACTGTGCTTGATGTCATCTGTACCCACTCCGATATCCCTGTGTCCATGGTCTCCAGAAGCAAAAATGGACTTATGTATGCATGCGGGGTTGCCATCTGACCGGTCATTCATTTCTTTACGTGCCATTGCTATGGCAAGGTTAGAAAGTCTATTACAATAAAAAGAGACCTCATCTGGATCAGGGTTTGTGTTTGGTGATGTAGACCTGTCACTTTCTTCATCCTTAGTTCCCTTTTGACAAGTCCCCTTCATTGTCAAGTGGAAGTTAGGAGAGCCCCTGTTGGAGCTGACATTGACACTGAATTCTTCATCACAGATACTGTATTCACCTGGGGAATGTGTATTTCGCTTCTGCATGTTTGGCCTCTCCACAGATGTCTCCCTTGATCTTGCACCACCTGCGTTATTACTGGCATTCAGCACATTTTGTACTCCAATTTCACAATTTTCCAGATCTTTTCGAAGCCAAGTCAACACTTTTAGTGGATCAGAGGAAGTTTGTTGGAAAAGCTTAGCTGAATCAGTCTAAAGTTTGGAACAAAAGAGAGTTTTGAGAACATTTAGTGAGTCAGGTGCAAAGTGACTGAATACTACAATAGCTCCCCCAACTCCCCATCTCCAAAGCAGGATTGGATGTCCTGCCAATTTTTGTTTCAGCTTCCAAAATGTTTATTTATTTATTTGCATTTTAGGGGTTGGTGCAGCCTATACTCAGTTCTATGTTTGGAAACCGATCCCTGGGACTTCACTACTTATCTGTCTATGGTTTAGCCCAGGCATGGATAAACTTCAGCCCTCCATGTGATTTGGACTTCAACACCCACAATTCCGAACAGCGTACCAGCTATTAGGAATTGTGGAAATGGAAGTCCAAGACACCTGGAGAGCCAAAGTTTACCCATGCCTGGTTTAGCCTCATGATCACCATATATTCATTTGGCAATACACGTTAATTCTTAATTCCAGAGAAGACTGTCACTATAAAACTTTTATGTTATTCTAATAGGCAAATTAGCAGCTTCAGAACAGTGCAGATGTATTCATATCCCACCTTTTGTTTTTCCATATTTTATTGTGCTCTGACCCTGAACAGATTTTGATTTTATTGGCATTGGCACTATTTGATCGTCACAAGATATGCAACATTGTTGTTGTGCAAAATACTGTAAACTGTGGCATAAAGTGGAGTAAATAAAAACTTAATTGTGTAAGTATTTACTCCCTTTACTGTGACACATCTAAATAAAATCTGGTGTAACTCACTGCCTCCAGAAATAACATGAGAAGCTATGGGGACAATACTGCAGCATCATAAGCAGAGGAAGATAATTCCCATGCTAATTTTGTGAAAAGATTTAGCATCATCTATCTGTTTGATCTCAGTGCTTAGGATCATATACTTTTTATGATAATCTGGGGACAAGGGTTGAAGTAATTTCTTTCTGGGTAGTTATAGCTATATTTTATAGGGGTTACATGCTAGTTAAGGACAAGGGCTATTAGATATTTAAGTGTATCTCTTGTTCTGGTTTCTCCCATCCTGAAAAACTGTAGTGGTCTTACTATCTTATGTTATCCTATATCTTGTGTTATTTAATTGACCTAATATGGCATGATACTGGATGAGAAACTCCTTCCTGAGCAGAAAGAAGATTGAGCGACTTGGAAGGCACTGAACAGACCGGGCTCTGGGACCACGAGATGCAAAGCCAACCTTAAGAAATGGGGCTACAAAGTAGAAACCACGACATGCGAGTGTGGAGAAGAACAAACCACAGACCACCTACTACAATGCAGTCTGAGAATTGTGTCCAGTGCTGGGCACCACAATTGAAGAGAGATATTGACAAGCTGGAATGTGTCCAGAGGAGGGTGACTAAAATGATCAAGGGTCTGGAGAAGCAGCTTAAGGAGCTGGGCATGTTTAGCCTGAAGAAGAGAAGGCTGAGAGGAGATATGATAGCCATGTATAAATATGTGAGAGGAAGGCACAGGGAGGAGGGAGCAAGCTTGTTTTCTGCTTCCCTGGAGACTAGGACGTGAAACAATGGCTTCAAACTACAAGAAAGGAGATTCCATCTGAACATGAGGAAGAACTTCCTGACTGTGAGAGCCGTTCAGCAGTGGAACTCTCTGCCCCAGAGTGTGGTGGAGGCTCCTTCTTTGGACGCTTTTAAACAGAGGCTGGATGGCCATCTGTCAGGGGTGATTTGAATGCAATATTCCTGCTTCTTGGCAGGGAGTTGGACTGGATGGCCCATGAGGTCTCTTCCAACTCTTTGATTCTATGATTCTATGAGCCCTGCCACATGCACAGTGGAGGACCTTCTCACAGTGACACCAGAGGCACTCGAAGTGGCCAGCTTCTGGTCAAAGGAAATTTAGCATAATGCCAAGTTCTTAACTTTTTTATGCATTTTTTACATTATAATTGTATTCTCAATTTGCTTCTGATATGATAAATAAACAAATCTTTCATTATTAAACTATTAAATTACAGGTGAGTTCAATTTAAAATGAAACGATTGTAAAGTGATTCCGAGGCTCTTGGGAAAGAGGCTAAAGCAGGAGAAGGCTAAAGGCACAAGTTGTTATTTCATTGTTCCCTCCTTTTGAAGAATGTTGCCCAGGATGAGGACGAAGAATGCTAGACATCAACTCCTGGCTCTGCAGTTGCTGCCAAAAGGAAAGCTTTGAGTTCTTGAACCCTGGTCTGCACTTTTGTAAAAGACTACTTCATCTCATACCCAAAATGTCCCTTTTTATTCTACAATAGACAAAAAAAATTGATCTCTGCATATTCAGATAAATGTTTGGATAAATCTGATATTAAAAATGACAATACTCAGCTAGCACAAGGATTTAACCCACTGCGCCACCACGGCTCTGCCCTATTGAATAATATCCATAAGGTGTTTGCTTTGATTTTAGATTATAGAAGGAAGGTGATTTTACAGGATTTGATTCATGGGGATGAATACGGGAGAGTTTTTTTTAATCTAAAGCTGTTTTTATATGAGATTTACAATAGATATTTTGGAATATTTGTACAGTCATAATGAGAAAGAAGCAGCGTTCATTTTTTGATGCCAAGAAATGAAATGTTGTGACAGCTGGACAGTATAGAACGCTGAGCAGGAAAACAATTAACACACTTGAAATTTGGTGCTGAGTGAGACTTCTATGGCTATCATGCACTTAAAGAAAGACAAATAAATGAATCCAAAGAAAATCAAGCCTGAACTATATGCTAAAATCAATAAACGGAGGTTAAGCTATTTGGATGGACCATAAGAATATATGACTTGTTAAAAAACAATTGGCAAAGGTCAAGTCAGTAGGAAAAAAAGCAAGATTGCTTAACAGGAAGGCTAATTATGTTGTATCCCATCTGAAAAGAATGTTGAGTAGAGATGGATCCTTCCAAGCGGAATAAGACTCTTTCTAGCTGAAGAAGTTCAGGATTTTGCTGAAATTCCTCTATATACAAAGCACTTCTATTTACTCTGCTGCTACAAAAGAGGGTTCCCACGACTGAACAGAGATGTGAACCCTGGTCTCCTGAAGCCATTGTCCAGTACTCAAGCTACTACACCGGGGTCCTCAAACTAAGGCCTGGGGGCCAAATACGGCCCTCTGAAGTCATTTATCCGGCCCTCGCTCAGGGTCACCCTAAGTTTGAAATGATTTGAAATCACACAACAACAACAACAATCCTATCTCATCAGCCAAAGCAGGCCCACACTTCCCACTGAAATACTAGTAAGTTTATATTGTTCTTCATTTTAATTATTGTATTGTTTTTAAGTGTTTTTTGCAATACAAATAAGATATGTGCAGTGTTCCTAAGAATTCATTCATTTTTTTTTCCAAATTATAATCTGGCCCTCCAACAATGAATGGACTGCCTGCTAAGCATCCAAGCCTTGCCAAGGACCAGGTATGCACATATGTTTGCACATATTTGAAAATGATGCATGAATGCCACTTCTCTTTTGTTTTGGGTATGTGTTGTAAAATCTATTTGCATTGTAAGTACTTTCCTTTCTTTTTCCATGTTCATATAGTATATATTTACTATTTCTTTTTCCATATAGACCATACACCACATCCCTACCTCTCTCTTTAGAAAATCAATGTACTACTTACTGTCCAACTCTGTTCTCCTTCATCACTGGGTGTATAACGATCAACTTTACAGAGTCCACTCTGGCTCTGTAACCAATCAATGCTGTCTGTCATCTAGGATGAAAAAAAATTACAGAGATCATTTTCACGTTGTGTTTTTCTGAACACCTTCCTTTTCCACACTGTTTTTGAAAACTGAGGAGCTATATTGGAGAAGAATGTCAAGTGGCGGTCTTATTGTTGTATGACCTCAAAAAAGCTCCACGTGTATTGTAATCCTTCAGAATCAAAGGATAGACTATTTGCACAGAAGTGTTGCTTTTACAACCACCAAGTTTCCATCCCTTAAAGGCATTATAAATAATATAAAATAATTACTGTATATATTCGAGTATAAGCCTAGATTTTCAGCCCTTTTTTAGGCTAAAAAAGTCCCCCTCGGCTCTTACACGAGTCAAGGTTATTTTTTATTTTACTTTATTATTATTATTATTATTATTATTATTATTATTATTATTATTATTTCATACTAATTATTATTATTATTACATTTATCATTTTACTCTCTTTATTATTGCTATTATTACATTATTACATTATATTATTATTATTACATTATATTATTACATGGCGGTATACAAGTGAAGTAAATAAATAAATAAATAAATTACATTTATTATTTTACATTATTATTATTATTATTATTATTATTATTATTATTATTATTATTATTGGAAGGATACGTAGGCACTTCTACAATGAAGAAGGTTAGAATAATGGTTTAATCAGAGTTAGACAGTCTTATCTTAAATTACAATTTTATGAAAATATTCATAAAAATATTTAACTGATGCCTCAATTAATGTAATTTTATTGGTATCTATTTTTATTTTGAAATTTACCAGTAGCTGTTGCATTTCCCACTCTCGGCTCATACTCGAGTCAATCCATTTTCCCAGTTTTTTTCTGATAAAATTTGGTGCCTCAGCTTATATTCAGGTTGGCTTATACTCGAGTATATATGGGTAGTTTTTTAGAAACGAACAAACACCAAGAGGTTTTCTGTATAATCGTCACAGTTGGGGCCTATGAGCTCTCTCCTCTGAATCCACAATGAGAAAACTGAGCATAAACTATACAAAATAATATATATTATTGCAATAATATTGGAGGCCATGTTAGCATTATTTCCACTACCTCTTTTCAGTGCTTCCCAACAGGAAGATTTTGTTTCAATTTAAAAGGCCCACTAAAAGCTAGAGGATATACACAAGAGAAAGGTAATTTTTAGATTTAAGATTTTGGTTCTATTTTGAAATGCTGAAGGCATAAGATCACCAATTGAATTAGAAAATCCTTCTTAATTCTATATAACTTCTTACTTCTGGAGAGAAAATACAATCAAAACAAAAAAAATTCCTGGTAACTCAATACTTCCAGAGAAATTTCCCCTTCTGGGTATATTTTGAGTGTTTTAAATTGAAGTTTTAGCTAGTTCGGGCCCAGATTATTTGCAGAACCACATCTTCGTATACAAACTGGCTCGAGCATTGAGATCTGCAGAGGAGACCCTGCTCTCAATCCCACCCCGTCTCAAGTACAGCTGGTGGGAACGAGAGAGGGGGTCTTCTCTGTGATCACTCCCTGCCTCTGGAACTCCCTCCCAAAAGAACTAAAAACTCTCTCCTCATCTTCAAAAGTTGCTAAAAAACGATCTATGCACCCTGGCATATTAATAGGAGGAAGACTAATATGTCTCAACTTACATCCTCGCCTAGATATGTTAAATCTTGTCTAGATACTAGAATTGATTTCGGCCTGTTGGTTGCTGCAAATCACTTCATCTCTATATAAGGTTTAAGTTAGTTTCTAGAATTTTTTTTACCCAGTGATCAATTTATACTGTGCATTTATGTTTGTATGGGTCATTTAAGTTTTTATCTTTAGTTATTTTGTATGTTATCAAGTCACTCTGCTGGCTGTTGTATTGGATCACACGTTGGACACTTCCCAAGTGTCTAGGACTGTGTGATGTAACTGCATTCATATTAACTTGTCCAAATGGTAAATAATACTGCAGTCTTTCATGAATGTAACAACTGATAAAATGTCTACAGAACACTAATTAAAACAACCTAGACATAATCAAATTTCAATAACACATTAATCAGAATAGCAAACGACAAACATGAAATACCAAATCTATTTGTATGTCTATATATCCCAATAACAGTTGTATAGACCATATATATTTGTGAATTTTCCCCTATGTTTTGCTTTGAGAAACAGCAGCTCACCATTCTCGGTCATATGTTTCATATGCCCAAAACCTGTCTCTTCAAAGCTGTAGCTGACGTTCACAGCTTCCAATAATGGCTTCCATAGGCTGCCATATAGGAAAAAATCTGCAAGAGAAGTACAAAATAAATGTCATTGATAACTCTTCAGTAAAGTGCAGTATTTTCTTTGTAGATGCTTGAATCTGCGAGATGGGCTGAGCTCCCATCTGTCAGCCCCAGCTTCCCATGCAGGGACATGAGAGAAGCCTCCCACAGGATGGTAACACATCTGGGCATCCCTTGGGCAGTGTCCTTGCAGATGGCCAATTCTCTCTCACCAGAAGTGACTTGCAGTTATCTCAAGTCGCTTCTGATATGATAAAAAAAAACTTTCATTGGGACCTCACTATCTCTGAGGATGCTTGCCATAGATGCAGGCGAAACGTCAGGAGGGAATGCCTCTAGAACATGGCCATATAGCCCAAAAAAACCTACAACAACCCAATGATTCCGGCCATGAAAGCCTCCGACAATACACTGAAGACATGGATGTCCCATTGTGCCTTTGACTAGCTAGTCCCCTCAAATAATTCTGGCTTTCAATTCAATCCTAACTAGATCTCACATGTTGCCATTGCCCCGGTTAGAAATATAATGCTCCCTTTATACTACCCCTAGGTCCTAATCCTGTTATGTCCTTTCCTTTAGCACTTTATCCATCAACCCTATCATTTGTCAAATGTTCTGCACAAGTTGTCCACCCGAATTCAGTACTGTGCACTATTCAGACCACTGAAACATTGCCAGATGTTTGCTATATAATGCATTCTGTGGTGGTTTTATATTGTTTGAAATGTTTTTATGAATTTTGTTGTTATTTTAACCATGTTGAATTTTGGGCTTGTCCCCATGTAAACCGCCCCGAGTCCCTTTGGGGAGATGGAGGCGGGGTACAAAAATAAAGTTATCATTATATTATTATTATTATTATTATTATTATTATTATTATTATTATTATTATTGTCTGGGCGGAGGCCACTAGAGGTTGCTAGAGAGAGAAGAATAGTCCATTTTATGGGATGGAGGGTGGGTTGAAGGAGGAAAGTCATTTCCCCCTGTTTTCTTATTATTCCCCCCAACCAGGTCCCCATTGTAGAAGTAATCCTTGTTAATGATATGGGAAGTGGGAGGGGGAATAACCAGCAAAAATGGGGGAAATGGTTTTCCTTCTTCAACCTCCCCCCCCCCCATAAAATGAAGGATCCTTCTCTCTCTAGCGCCCCCTTGTGGCCTCTACTTGGATAATGGAACAGTACCCAGTTGTATTTAGAAACATAATTTCAGCATGGATAACAATGCTGCTAAATTAATCTGTTATAATGCCATAAATTAGGCTTCCATGGGAAACATTTAAAATTTAATTTTGACTGTTTTATGTTTATTTTGTGGAAATCATTTCATTTCATTGACCACGTTAGACTTAGCCAGAAACGGAAATTCAGCAAAGTCTTGAAAGCACTGAAGGTCAAGCTACAACCAAACACTTTCCTCAAAACATTTGCTATGTCTATTGCCTAAAAACCCCTCATAATTACCACAGTATTACCAATACAGTGTCTTTGATATGCCTTGTCTAGTAAAAAAATTCCATTTTTTCCTTTAAATTATTAGTTTTTATTCAAATAGACATACATTTGCAAGTTTTCTTCGCACCCAGTGCAATACTTTCCATCTATTAGTTTTCCATAATAATTTCTCAGACAATATATTTCCTTTAAGGGGGCACAGTCTACTATTTAAATAACACATATAAAAGTATCATTGTAATTAAGATCATAATTCAGTGGACAAAATTAATGTTCTGGTTGGAGACAAATATGCACCCAAAGAACAGGAACATCTGTCCTGATACAGGAAATAAGTCAATAAGAATTTGCTAATTTTGTTCCCAGATGGTGTTCCCCCTTTGAAATTGCAAATAATCTACTATTTTTATCACCAACAAGAAAACTTATTATGTGATCAAGACATAAGAAAAACCCAATGGAGGCTGTACAGTAGGGGCTTAAATAAGGAAGATGAGGACATATTTCTTCAAGGAGGAAGCATCTGAAGATGAACCCACATTTATTTCTCCCAACTTATTTTCAAATAAGTTGGGAGAAATAAATCACAAGAAATAGGTAGCATATCAATTGAGCTGTTTTAAATTGTGAAGACTGAATCTATTTAAATTCTAACAAAAAAACCCTACCATCAAATTTAGTGAACAAAACAAGGATCCACGGAGAGGAAGTGTTCCCAATCCTCAAGAAAAGGACACCAAGACTGTATTAACCATTGGACTAATGCACAGATCTTAGTCTGCAAGAACGGAATCAAAAACAGTTGATAGACCAGGATTTTGTAAGTCACTCCATGAGTCAATTTGATAGCCAATATCAACAGCAAGTGTTGACTAGAGAACCAAGTTGGCTTGCCTACCTTTCTAGTATCAAAGGGAGAACTGACAAGGATTGCCCACCAAAAAGCTAAAGCCTTTCTCTTACCTGCCAGAATGTAACCTCCACTCTTAACCCTTCACCTTCCAGAATGTAGCCTGACATCACAAAGCACCTTGAGGCCCTGCTGTCCCCATGACAACAAACAACACCACAAGCAGCAGGACTACCTAGCCAAGGACTACTGGAAAACATCACAATGGGCCAGAGATACAATGTTGTTCATGGATTTTGCAGCTAGATTTTACTACTACTTCTCAAGGACAATAACATCACTCTTGCGTAAAAGGAAATATCCTAAAAAATGAAGCACACAATATTCTTTAAATTTATT